ATTATTTTTGGTGCAAAGTATGCAAATCTGTACTTAAAAAACAAAAAGATTTATATTTATGTTGTCTTTATATTCCACCTGAGAATTCAACATATTTTAAGCCTGCGATTTTTGAAACACTTGAAAATGATATTGCGGAATTTTCATCGAAGGGTCATATTGTTTTAATGGGAGATTTTAATGGACGAACAGGACAAGAAGATGATATTGCATGCAACAAAGGAAATTCTTTCATACAAACTAATTTTGATATTTAAGTTTTAGCGATACCCAAAAGGAATAATTTTGATTCTGTTGTAAACTCTCATGGAAGACATTTATTAGAAATCTGTAAGTCGTTTAATTTGAGAATTTTGAATGGAAGAATAAGTGGAGATTCCCTGGGTCGTCCAACGTATCATGGAAAAAATGGTCAAAGCACAGTAGACTACATAATAATTGATCAAGATCTTTTTGGCGATATAAAATGTTTTTTGGTTGACAAACAATCTTCTGACCACAGTCCTGTTTACACCAAGTTTCAAGTAACTTCAAATGCGCATAATAGCGGTAATATTTCTCCAGAGTGTTCTTTAAACAGTCTTCAAAAAATGCCTCCTCAATTCATATGGACACAGGAATCATTCGAAACTTATAATAGAGCGTTTTCTTCTCCTGAAATGCATCATTTGATTAAGAAATTTTCAGAAATAAATTTTGAAGATATTCAGTCTGAAAATGTCATAGAATATGCGGTTAATTTTGTAAATACAATTTATATAACAGCGGCTAAAAACACTTTGAAACTAAAGGTAACTAAAAAGAGGAAAAGAACAAGACCCTTGACTGAAAAGAAATGGTTTGATTATGATTGCAGGAAAGTTCGAAAAGAATTGCGCAATTTATCAAATCAAAAACACTCAGATCCTTCTAACTCAAATTTGAGACATACATATCTCAAAAAGTTAAAAGAATTCAAAAATTTACTTAAAATTAAAAAAAAAAAAAATTAAATCTTCAAATGAAAATATGAAAGACGACACAATTCCACCAATTAGCGAACAGCAGTGGATTAAACATTTTGAGACTCTTCATTCTGGAATCCTTTCTAATTCCCCTAATCATCAGCAATTAGTTAAGAATTTATCTACCCTAAATCTCTTAATACTAATAATGATCTTAATTGTCCTATAACCATAAAAGAAATTCAAAAATGCACAAAAATGTTAAAAAATAAAAAGGCGGCATCTTCAGACAAAATAAGAAATGAAATGATTCGATGCAGTTTAGATTCTATGTGTCCCGTTTTAGAAAAATTATTCAATCTAATTTTAAAATCAGGTAATTTCCCTAATTCTTGGTGTGAGGGATCAATAACACCTATTTTTAAGAGCGGTGATAAATCAGACACCAATAATTACCGAGGAATATGTGTCTCCAGTTGTTTAGGGAAATTATTCACTTCTATTCTAAATCAAAGACTACTGAAATTTACTCAAAAACATAAGCTCTTACACAGTTCTCAAATAGGTTTTATGCCAAAGCAAAGAACCTCTGACCATATTTTTACTTTAAGATGCTTCGTAGATAGATATGTTAAAAATGCCTCCGGGGGAAAAGTTTATGCATGTTTTATTGATTTTAAAAAAGCTTTTGACTCCATTTGGCATGAAGGGCTGTTTTATAAATTACTTCAAAACAAAATTGATGGGAACTTCTACAAATTGATAAAAAGTCTTTATTCAAAATCATCATGTTTTATAAAGTTAGGCTCAAGGCGAACTGAGAATTTTAAATATTGTCGTGGAGTCCGTCAAGGATGCATTCTAAGTCCTCTACTTTTCAATCTTTACCTAAATGAATTATCGATTCAACTTGACAAAACTCTAAGAACGGATGCCTTCTTATTACCAAATGGTATAAAATTAACATCACTTTTGTATGCGGACGACTTAGTTCTCCTCTCAAAATCTAGTGAAGGACTTCAGAATTCAATCAATTGTGTTGCTGATTTTTGTAAAAATTGGGAAATGAACATTAATGAGAAAAAAACAAAAATCATGATTTTTCAAAAAAGATCGCCAAAAAGGACAAAGCAAAGAAACTTTCTAGTAAATCATAGAAACCTCGACATTGTTAAAGAATTTACTTATTTAGGAGTAACTTTAAATTAAACTGGAAACTTCTCTGTTCATCCAGAAAAATCAAGAGAAAAGCCCCTAAACGCTTTATTTAGCATAAATCGTCATCTAGATTTAAAGAAACTCCGACCGCGTCAGGCAAATAAAATATATAATTCTATGGTCTCTCCAATTCTTACTTATGCAAGTGAGATTTGGGGAGTTTACCAAAAACATGATTACCAAAATGGGATAAAGGCTCAACTGAGAAAATGCAATTACGATTTTGCAAGTATTATTTAGTAAATAATAAATCTACCAATATTGCCTGTCGAGCCGAACTTGGAATATATCCACTAAAAATGTTTATAGACAAAATGATACTCAAATATTACAACCATTTGTTTAGCTTACCTGATAATTCTTTTGCGAAACAAGCACTATTAMTCTCGAAATCTATGTTTGAACGCGGAAAGACTTGCTACCATTCACAATTAATTTCTATGTTAAATTTCTATGACATAAATAATACCTTAACTAATGTCTCTACTAATAACACTATAATTGTATGAGGAAGTAGCTGATCCCATTAAAGAGTGCTCAATACACATAAAGTGTAGAGCTAGTTATATATATGATATCAAAGAGGCAAGATTTTGCTGTARCTCCGAGTTTCGTGCTACGCACTCATCAGACAGTATTTAACTTTAGTTCAAAAACAAACAAAAGAAAACGACGCTACATGATAACACAATTTTGTAGTTAGTGAAAAATATATATTCTTGTTAATGTTCCCTAGTGATTTTCTTTAATTATATATATTATTAATGTAATTTACATCTTAACGATGTTTTTTTTATTGAAATTATCATTATTGAAATCATTTATCTTATATTATTATTCA